CAGTAGATTCCACCATGGAGTTGATTACCAGTCTCATCATGGGGAATACTACATCCAACTGCCCAGCCACTCAACCAGGCCTAGCCAAGTTGACATACAAACATAACCATCACAACATCCTAGTTGGATCAGTTGGAATGCCTAATTCTTATCCTGTAGGAAACTGTACACAATATTCAGAGACATCCTGGAGAAAATTGAAGATTGAGGTTTATTTTTGTGGGATTTTTGTTCATCTGTTTTTATTGGCAAAGGGTACCCAAATAGTATATATATTACCAAATAGTAATATATTACCTCCTATAAAACTACAATTCATTTCTCTTAACAATTTTATTATTTTTATTTATTTTTTATTCACATGTCAAACATCTGTTAGGTACTTATTAGGTACCAAGCACTGTGCTTGTAATAATTATATAACAATTAGGAGGACTTCCAGCAAGATATCAGACTAGGCAGACAAGCTACCCAGACCTCTACAACAGAGACAGGAGAAATCAAATGAAAGAGATAGAGATGATAATCTAGAACCCTGAGCTTTAAAGGAAAGGATAAAGAAGGGATCAAATGCCACTCGAAGAGGAAGCTGAATGAAAACAGCAAACAAGGAAACAGAAGGAGCTGTGAACTGTCAACTGGCTTGACATAGCATGGCCATTTTGAATTTTTGCAAGCAGTGTTCCAATCGGGCAGCAACCTGATAGTCAGCACTCCTTGTCCAGAACAGCACAGACGTCCACACACAGCTGGCAACCAGAAAGATTTTATATTCTCCGCACCCTTACAGTGACCACAGGTGTGGCCACCCCCCAAGCCCGCCCTTATCCCTCTTCTAGACTAGTTGGAACTCCATCCTAGACCAAGTGCCCTGTCCCCAGTCACCTTCTGTGCCACCAGGAACTTGTTCCGGGTTCAGGCACCCTGCCTCCAGTCACCCCTTAGACTGGCAGGGACTCCATTCAGAACCAGGTGCCTGGCTCCCCTTCGCTTGCTTGGCTGGCAGGAGGTACCCTAGGTACCACTAGGGTGTCCTGTCCCCCCAGTTTTCTCCTTTCTTTTTTTCCTCTTTTTTCTTTAATTTCTTTCCCTTTCCTTTTTTTTTTTCTTATTCCTGCTTTTCCTTTTTCTTTATTTTCTTCTCTTTTCCCTCCCTTGTTTTCATTTTTTATTTATATTTTTTCCTTACTGTTCTCTTTCTTTTTTCTTTCCCCCCTCTCTAGTTTTCTTTTTGTCCTTCCCTTGTTTTTTATTTTTACTTTTTCTCTCCTTTTTTTTGTTCTCTAGTTTTTTTTAATTTTCTTTCTTTATTTTGTGTGTATGTAGTTATGTATTTTTTCTCTCTCTTTTTTTATTGTACCACCTGATGGGAGTCATCATCTGTGCCCACACTGCCCAACCACATCCATACATGCTTCAGCCTCACCCACTGGGTAACAACCTGCACCCACTCCTGTGCCAACTGATCAACAATAGATGACAACCAACACCCACCCAAACCCACTCTCAATTGCTGTACATGAGCAACAAGCAGATAACTGTGCACATACTCCTGTCCTCTATCATACCCACTGTGAGACAGGTGATGAGCACCTGAGTGCTACCAAACTAGCAGAATAGCACATCTGCCCTGCTTGCTCAGATATTTCAAAACAAAAAAACCTAGGTGAAACACACCAACATACAACCACCAATTAAATACAAATACACCACCATCACAATGTCTCAGAGACAAAGACAACCTCAGTTCATACAAAGAAGCAAGACAGTGGCACAAGCAAGTGACCAAAATACGTAGCCAGAAAACTTCCTTGAAGAAGAAATGGCATTGGAACTACCTGATAAGGAGTTCAAAAGAATTATATTTAGGTACCTTCAATGGATTGAGAGAAGGATCAAGGAAAACACTGACAAAATCAAGGAAAACACAGACAAAACTCTAGAAGAATTCAGGAAAACAGTATAAGAACATACTGAGAAATTAGAAACTATACAAAAACAGCAAATAGAAATCCAGAAGACTAAGATTTCAGAAATAGATGACACATTGAGAGGGCAAAGGAGTAGAAATGAAACAATGGAAGACAGAATTGGTGAGATTGAAGACAAAGCTCTAAATATTACTCTATTAGGGGAACAATCCAAAAAAAGAACAAAAGAAAATGAAAAAGCCTAAGGTTTATGTGGGGCATCATCAAGAGAAATAATTTACATGTGATCGGAATTCCAGAACAAGAAGAGATGAGGGCGGGGGGGGGGGCGGGGAACAAGCAGAGCAAAAATATAATTACATAATAATTAGAACATTAGGGCTCAAAATCCAAAATCTAATGGGGAGCGTAGAAATGTTTAAAGCAGTCTCAATTCGGAAAGTGAAATGGAGTTACCATTAGAAGAAGGAGCTAATATTCTACCCAGAAGAAGTCAATGAACTGGCTGACCCTCAAAAGATCACTTCATGAATCAGACACTTAATGTTACTAGCTTCCAAGAAGGGATGATTTTCAAATGCAATTTTCAAAGGCATGTCCGATTTTGGTATTTTGAGACCATAGAACAATAATTTGGGTCCAGATTGTTATGAGTGCCTCGGGATGTTATGCCTGTATCTGCTTTTCAGTCCCACCTTTAAGATGCTTAAATGTTACATTAAACCAATAAAACCAAACTCACTGCCATCGAGTCGATTCGACTTACAGCAACCCCCCCACCTTGAATTTCCAAGTCAGTATCACTGTGGAAGTAGATTACCCAATCTTCCTTCTGAGGAGTGGCTGGTGGGTTTGAACCACCAGCCTTCTGGTTAGCAGTCACATGCCTTAGGCACTATGCCACTAGAACTCCTAAATATTAAATAAAATTGGAATAAGTAGTAAGGAATTACTAATGGAAACTATAAAAGGGTGGGGAATTTGAGATCAAATAATATCACTATTTGCATATTAGTCAAGAAGGAGCTCTGGTGACATAGTGCCTAAAGCATCTGACTGCTGACCAGAAAGTTGGCAGTTCAAACTCACTAGCTACTCCATGGGAATGAGACTGAGCAATCTACTTCGGGAAAGATTTACTGCCTCGGAAACCAATTGGGGTCACTATTGGAATCGACTCGATGGCAGTGAGTTTGGTTTGGTTTTGGTGTACTAGTCGAGTAAATATATAGCAATGATAAAGTATAATCCTATGAAAAGTGATAAAATTGTTGTGATAGTATTCCTTTATGTATTTATGCTGTAGTATGATAGATTCATTTGCATTCTTCTCAGTACACTCTACTTTTAATTGTAGGATGTCAAGTTGACAGCAAGCAATGATGATTATTATTTTGTATTTGAAGATTATTTATATCAGGTATGTTTAAAATTTTAAATATATAATGTTCTGTTTTAGGTTCTCTAAATCATGATACTTTCAGAAAGATCTGCATTATTAATTAAATCCTTCTGAATGCAAGCCATGTTTATTTTTTATCAGAGTAAATGTTTGGGATAAGGTTAACTTTTGTTCTTAGTGTGGAATTAGAAGAAGAGTCTGCCAATGAGTTTTTGGAGTAGTCTTTTCATCACATTTGCTACAACCAGGAGATTTTGTTAGGTAAGTTTTTTACCTTTGTTTTGGACACAGATTTTTAATTGGATATTAAGTTCATATTTAAGGCACACAGATGTTTAGATAAATCATTTTCATGATACTTTTCTATTTAATATGGTTAAATGTTTTTAAATCCATTTGAAATGTAATGATTCGTTTTTGATCATTTCATATGCTGATATTATAGATGTTTGAATACTTATCTAAGTCTTTCATGTATTTATTAAAATAAAATCAGTTTTATCATAAACACAAAATGCAATTTACATACAATTGCCTGATTATGTTCTTTTCCTTTTCTTTATGAATACCCATACATATTACTGATTTGATTTTTATTGAATATCAATATAAATGCCATTGCAAATCTTCCTTCTGTGGAGCAGCTGGTGGGTTTGAACTGCTGACCTTCTGGTTAGCAGCCAAATGCCTTATTCACTATACCACCACAGCTCTTTATGCATATTACTAATTTGATTTTTACTTAATATCAATATAAATGGCATGGAAAATGTTCTATATTATACATACCAATTTCTGCTTGATTAAATGTGAATTAGTCCCAGCTACTTGGTCTTATTTGATGTTGGTGTTTAAAAGAGAAGATAATGTTGCATAAGAATCTCTCAGGAAAATTTAATTAATCAAATATTCCAGAGCTGAAGTATAAAGATTTTATAAAATTTAAACTAACCCTAAAAACTTTAAAAGGATTTGAGTGATTTCAAATATGTGACTAAATTGTTTAATTTTAAGAGATAATAAAGATTTAAAATTCTATACTTTAATATAAAGATATAAAGTTAGTTATTAATTAAATATTAAAATAAATATAAAAATCTTCCAAAAGCTTATTTGCTTATGTAACTGATATGTAACATTGTGTCTAATTCTTAGTACTTATGAACTTTTTAAGAAGCTCTGGTGGTACAGTGGCTAAAGCATTTGGCTGGTAACAGAAATGTCAGAAATTCAAACCTAACAACCACTACATGGAAGAAAGGTGAGGTAGTCTGTTCCTGTAAAGATTTACAGCCTTGGAAACCCTATTGAGCAGTTCTACTCTGTCCTATAGGGTTGCTATGAGTCAGAATCGACTCGATGGCAGTGAATCTTATTAAATTTTTAAATATACATGCTTCATTAATATACAAATATTAGTTTACTGATAACCTCTATACTTGAGAAATACTGAGTGGAAAGTGTTACTTATGGATTGGCAGCATGAGGAGTTTCACAGACCCATTTCCCAATAGAAAAGTGATAACTATTGAAAATTTTATGTAGAGATAGATATAGATGTGTGTGTGTGTGTAAAATTAAAGTCTTTAGAAACTTTTCTAAGGTCATGTAACAAATCAGCAAATAATAATAAAAAAAAAAAAAACACTTATTCAAGAAAATCTACTACATGTCAGTAAGAACCTGTGGTACTTGTGCCATAACCTGCTCCCTCTCTTCCCCCACCTACCACTCAGCTTAATAGAAGCTTCACTTTGGCCAAGAATGGTCAAAAAGAAGGGACTCTGTTGTGTAGTAAATTACTTTGGATGGCCCTTCCATGCACAGTCTGTGTGACTCCCACAAAAATAATTGGGTGGGGCTATGCAAAAAGGTGTTTTTGCCTCACTAGTGGGATTGGGCAACCTGCTAATACCTCAAATAAGGTACATGAAACCTTTGTGGGAGTAGGACCATACAGATAAAGTGTGTGGAACTCTAACAAGGGGCTTCGTCAGTTTTGCCACCCATTAGGCTTAAAATGAGCCAATACCAGAGGCAGGAAGGGGATCTCATTACCATCAAGGAGAGCCAGGAATGGAGCATGTCTTTTGGACCCAGGGTCCCTGTGCTGAGAACCTCCTAGACCCAAGAGACAGAGAGGGCTGTAATGCCTGAGATAGTAGTACAAGACAGCAAGACATGGTGGCAAGCACAGCAGAGTCCTGCAGCAGAGGAACAGTGGCACCAGAACTAGGAGATCAGCAGGAGACAGTGCAGTGGGCTTCCTGGCCATGGAGTGAGGCAGCTACAGTGAGCATGCCAGCCCACAGAGTGAGAAAACAGAGCACCTTCAGGCTAGGGCTTATTGGTGGATGAGAGTGTGTCTGGGCACTTTTTGGTGGAGCTAAAAAGTTGTAACACTTGACTGAACAGAGCATAGGCCAGGCTGAGGGCCAAAGAGCTTAGAGCCAAGGGAAAGCATGGCTGAGAAGAAACTGTCCTGATCAAAAAACTGAGTCCTGAATCATCCCTGATCCTGAACTGTCACCTGTTATTTCCCTAATAAACCCAACAACTGTGAGTTTCATCTGTGAGTTCTGTGTGGCCATTGCAACAAATCGTCAAATCCAGTAGGGAAGTAGAGAGTACCTTGGGAGTGATGGTGGGTGTTAGAATTGGACAAAAGGTTGGAGAGTGGAGATATATTTGATCTCCACCTCAATAGAGTCTGCCTTGAACTGATGGTCTTGATTCTCTCCTTCCCTCTTGTGAAAGTTAGATGACAAGGTGTGATGCTGCAACAGAATTTTTAGAGACCTCTTCTTCCCCGTCTTTAGTCAAAGGCTACAGTATCTCTATAGGAAGGACCAGGTGACTATCATTTCTCATCCTCATAGCAATGTGTTGCAGAGACTCAATTCAGGAAACTTCTATTCAGAGGTCAAAGGTACCTTCTTCCATTGAGCCCACACTTGTAGGTCAGAGGCTCTATCCAAGGCTTGGCAGGCTGATAATACTGGAGCCCTGATTTCCCTCACCTCAAATTGGTCATAGGGTAGAGGTTCCTTGCTGGGAGAGGGAAGCAGGAAGGACCAGAGGCTGCCTCCAGCTCCAGAGCAGCATCACAGATTTTTGCCCAGGTAGACAGATTATGCACTATATACATGGACCTCATCAGATGGAATACAGAGGAATCAAGTTGATTACATCTGGGGAAAGTAAAGATAGAGAAGCTCAGTACCATAGGTCAGAACAAAGCGAGGGGCTAACTGTGAAACAGACTGTCAGTTGCTCATATGTAAGTTCCAGTTGAAGCTTAAAAATTAAAATAAGTCAATGAGAACCAAAGTACAACCTTGAGTATATCCCACCTGAATTGAGAGACCATTCCAAGAATAGATTTGACACATTGAACACTACTGACTGAAGACCAGACACATTGTGGGAGGACATCATGGACATCATACATGAAGAAGACAAAAGTTCATTAAAGTGACAGGAAAGAAACAAAGGACCAAAACAGATGTCAGAAGAGACTCTGATGCTTGCTCTTAACAAAGAAAAGCTAAAATGAATGGAAGAAATGATGAAGTAAAAGAGCTTAACAGAAGATTTCAAAGAGCAGCTTGAGAAGACAAAGTAAAGTATTATAATGAAATGTACAAAAACTTGGAGTTAGGAAACCAAAAGAGAAAAACAAGCTCAGCATTTCTCAAGCTGAAAGAACTGAAGAAAAAATTCAACCCTTGAGTTGCAATATTGAAGGATTCTATGGGCAAAATATTGAACAACACAGGAATCATCAAAATAAGATGGAAGGAAAACACAATCACTGTACCAAAAAGAATTAGTTGATGTTTAAACATTTAAAGACATAGAATATGATCAAGAACCAGTATGTATTGAAGAAAAAAGTCCAAGATGCACTGAAGGCATTGGTGAAAATCAAAGCTCCAGGAATTGACGGAATACCAATTGAGAAGTTTTAATGAACAGATACAAAGCTAGAAGCACTCACACTTTTATGCCAAGAAATTTGAAAGATAGTTACTTGGCCAACTGACTGGAAAGGATCCATGTTTATGCCAATTCTAAAGAAATGTAATCCAACAGAATGTGGAAATTATCAGACAATATGATTAACATCACACAAAAGTAAAATTTTGCTGAAAATAATTCATAAACAGGTGCAGCAGCACATTGACAAGGAACTGCCAGAAATTCAAACTGGATTCAGAGGGGGACATGGAAAAAGGGCTATCATTGCTGATGTCAGATGGATCTCGGCTGAAAGCAGAGCATACCAGAAAAATGTTCACCTCTGTTTTGACTGTGCAAAGACATTGGACTGTGTGGATCATAACAAGTTATGGATAACATTGCAAAGAATGAGAATACCAAAACATTTCACTATCCTCTGAGAAACCTGCACATAGACCAAGAGGCAGTCCTTTAAACAGAACAAGGAGATACTACATGGTTTAAAATCAGGAAGGGTGTGTATCAGCTTGTTTCCTTTCATCGTACTTACTCAATCTGTATGCTGAGCAAATAATCTTAGAAGCTGGAATATATGAAGAAGAACACAGCATCATGATTGGAGGAAGGCTCATTATCAACTTGTGATATGCTGATGACACATCTTTGCTTGTTGAAAGTGAAAAAGACTTGAAGAACTTACTGATAAAAATCAAAGGTAACAGCCTTCAATAAAGAAAACAAAAATCCTCACAACTGAACCAGTAAGCAACATCATGATAAACAGAGAAAAGATTGAAGTTAGTTTACTTAGATCCACAATCAATAGCCGTGAAAGCAGCAGTCAAGAAATTAAACAATATATTGCTTCCAAAGACCTCCTTAAAGTTAAAAAGCAATGATGTCACTTTGAGTACTAAAGTGCACCTGACCCAAGCCATGGTATTTTCAATCACTTCATATGCATGCAAAAGCTTGACAATGAATAAAGAAGGCCAGAGAAGAATTGATGCCTTTGAATTGTGGTATTGATGAAGAATAGTGAATATACCATGGAC